GTGAGATTTGAATTTAAATTTGATTTTGTATTTATGTTGAACGGTCTCTTCTTTTGAAGGAATCTGCGAGGAAATAAATCACACCACGTCGGATGATTGGAATGAAGGGCATCCCTTCAAGGATCGTCACAACATCGCCCTGTTTGTTTCATATGCTAAAGAGAGACGTCCTGGATTTAAGATCGGTAAAATTACGTTCAATGCTTCCCTAGCCTGGGTGTCCTTCTTCTTTGGCCTGACAGCTTTATTGTTTCACTTTTTCTAGAGAAGTGTGAAGATGGCTTGTCGTTGGCCAAGGGCAACTTCTTATAATTTTGCTATTTTAATCTACACAAGCACCCGCAAAGTCAGTGCTCCGCGCGTGCTGCTCACTCCGAGCTGTTTTTATCTGCTCATTTTCTATTTTGAGAAATTCTCCACTTGGATCTGACCTATCTTTTCTGAAGAGAATGACATTTTTATTATGTTCTTAAAAGATAGCCTGCGTCAGGAGCCGTCGGCTTAGCTAGAAATTTTAAGTGAATTGTGCACTTTTAGATACAAACATGAATTTTGGCAGACTGATAGTAGTCACCAATACAAGCATTTTCAGATAATTTAAAGTGCCAAGCCGGTAGTAGATCGGTTTCCATAGAAACCAAACGTTATTAAAATTCATAAAAAATTAATGAATGAAATTCATTAAATTGTTTGCCCTGGTTTATCGAGACATCATTTCACTTAGTCATCCAACCTGTTTACCACGTACATCTTGTTTATAACACACCATTTGACCTTAACTATGCATTGCCATAGCAATGGTAAGCAAAGGAAAACTAAAATTACGACGACTGAATAAATTAATATGCCTTCAGTTTGTTTGATTATTATATGTTATACAACTAATATCTTTGCACATAGCTTTGCTACCTAATAGATTTCACATTTTCGTTACGGAATAAACTTAAGGTGATTCTCTAGTCATTTGCCACTGTGCATCCCACACTGCTCATAACAAGATGGCCACCGTGAAACAGAGCTTCTGCAGAAACATGATTAAAATGACGTTGATCGAAAGGAAACGTTATTGGAATTTTCCATAGCAGTTTTTTTTTTCTGGCTCAGAGGAGCCTCAAATTGTTGGAAATGTGCCTTACGTAAGCGGTATGGGTGTTGCTGAGTTAAACTTCCTCACCGAGGCCTTCGATAGTGGATGTTGTGTTGAACCATTTTCATGACATTTAAGCTTCACCTTTATCACATTATGTACTAATTGCTGTATCTCGATGTAAATTCCATAATATCGAATTTTTCAATGCTTTCTTCCACCTTCACGTAAATGCCGCTTTGAAATTCGCCCCAATCCTCCCTCAAAACTCGCAAGAAATGCAAGTGGTGTGCACTATCTGCAGCTCTACTGGTGACCCTTATTTTTCTTCATTATTTTAATAATAACAGTTCTTCCTTTTAATGGCAATTCTATGACCAGCGGAGAAGGAAGCAGCATCACGCACTGTTAAGGCATGGAACACAAGCAGAAATGTCGAGTTAGATGGACCAAAGGCTTTTGGAAAGAGTGTGGGTAGGATATTTCCTGTCCCATAGGAAACTCAAAATTCCTTGAAGTATAAATAAGCCTGTGTCAGGCTCCAAGATAGTGGGGAAAACAGAGCGAAAAAAAGCGCTTGATTTCGAATCGTGGTTGACTAGTGAACATTTTCTACTGCATCAGCCACATGGACTATCATTTTAATGTTTGCTTCTTCTCCGTGCAAACAGACGCAGTCTTGACCGTGTACGTTTGATGCTATGGTTTAGTTAC